TCGCTGCGTATTCTGGCCGACCGCAATTAGGAGGAAATATTTCACTCTATTGCTTCCATTGTCTCCGCATTCCAGTGCCTTGTTTGGCTCTTTGGTGAACACCTACGACTAAACCCTTCTTTCGAAGCCTCCTTCTCTTTTCAACCTCGACTTCTGCAACATCGACTTGACGCCTCCTCACTGTCGCCAAAATGTGTAAGTTTCGCCTGTCAGCGTCCTGCCATTGACGGATCTTAACACCATGCAGCTTCTCCTACGACAACGTTGATGCCCTTTGCGCAGCTGCCGGCTTGTGCAACACAATGCGGTGTCATGTACGATGCCAATGGCGCTTGCGTTCCTCCTGCCGCTGCGCAGGCCGATGAGACGACCTACGAGAAATGCTTCTGCAGTTTCAGTGCTCTGCAGCCCTGGAAGACTGCCGCCACCGGCGTGTGTGACTATGCTGGGTGCGATGCCGCTGGCTTCAGCAGCATTCAAGGGTGGTTCACATCCCTGTGCAACGCCGTCGAAGGCAATGCTGTTGCAACAACATCTGGAGCTTCTTCCACAGCTACCAGCGGTTCATCAAAAGGCTCAAGCAACAGCGGCAACGGTGGAGACTGGTAAGCTTGATGGGTTTTCACAACTTGACTGATTGCTAACACCTCCCAGGCTCTCCAACCACTGGAGATGGGTCGTCATGCTTGTCATCCTCGTCGTCGCCATCGCCGGCATCTGGATCGGTGCTTGCATCTGGCGCCGCCGGTACCTCAGGAGGAAGGATCGCATGTACGAGCTTGGCAAGCACGCTCACAAGGGTCCCAGTGGTATTATCGCTGGCTCCGGTGTCGACGTCAACAATGCCGGTCTCGCCCAAGGACCCGGATCATTCATGCCTGGGCCTGCTCCTGCCGCTTATGAGGAGAAGCCCCCCAAGGAGAAGAAGAAGTGGGTTGTCAACGAGCGGACGTAGGCGACCCGCAGGATACGTGTAGCAATACTTTTCAACACTATCCCTCAACGGCTTACGAGACGGCGTTTCTATCTTTTTACGGCATTTGGTGTCTGGATATCCATTCACGTTGTTCTTTAGCAAGACTCGTGCTTTCTTTTTTGCTCATTATAGGCGTACGGCAGGAAACAGGAGGGTCTGTTTGTTTTGTTGGAAACAAATCATTGGTGGTACATGTCCCTTTCACCACGCGGGTTTCACGGGGACGTCGTTGGACAATTGCAGGGGAAAATCGGCACCCAAAATCCACATCACAGGAGCGACCCGAGTCCCACCACCTTTGGCATGCGGGTTTAGACTACGGCCGGGCGGTGGTCTTGAGGCCAGCTCGGCATCCAAAAATGATAATTTTTATACCTCTTCATCCGTACTAGAACCGTCCATCTGACCGTTTGCATTGTTTTGTTTAATGATTCGTGCACCTCGCTGACTCGACAAGGCATTGTTTGCTGTTACATGCGTCATTTTATTTTTCCTCTTTTCCATCTCTGCAGACCGGGGCCGGCTTGCGGCGGGGGACCCTCCCGACCGTCCGAGCGGGCCGATCAAACTGATCAAACGGATTGTCGCGGTGGGTTTGCGACAACCCTGTGCTCTTCCTTTGACACCTGCAGCGTCGTAGCAGGGAGCTTTGTTGCACTGTGGATTCGGGGCCCTGGACCCTTTCTTGCCATTTTTTTTTTGTGCTGTGTCTGGTGTCGTGTCAGGCTGGGGTTTTGAGGCAGCTTTGTCGGAGCTGACGACGGCTTCACGTCGTCAATTGGGGAGTTTCGGGCGTGTTTGTTTGATGTATTCTGCTGTGCGTGGACTTGGGGCTTTTTGCGGCCGACTACGCTTCGATATGTTCCGTGAGTTGCTTGGTGAGTTGATAATTTCGGTTTTCTGATTTGATGGTTGAGGCTGATTTGTGGGGGGGGGAGGGGGGNGAGGGGGGTGGGGGGGGGGGTTGACGATTGTAGGCGAAGTCTTTGCCCTTGGGGATTTCTTATATAAAGGTTCCGGGTTGGGGATGGATCGACTTTGCGGCAACAATCCAGCGTAGTCCAGATTCGGGTAATGGGGTGGCGGCGGCGACGGCTAACGAAGTGGTTTTTGGATCTGGCTCGTTTCTGTCAAGTTTGTTGGTAGAGAAAGAGGGGATGGGGTTCGGAAACAGGTTGTTCTTTCATTCTTTGAGTATTGACAGGTGATAAACTTGTAGAGGGGACACTGAAGGGCAGAGAAGGTTGTCGAAGCCGGCGGTGGCTGGTGATTGATGATGTGCTCACCGCCTGAGTTTCATTAAGTCTTTCAGATGCCTTGTGCCATGTCCACACTCCACTTGGATTGCTTGTTGGCCCTATTATCTTGATTCGTCATCGACGGATAGCCTTCAAATACGTAGAGCCATGTGCGGTGCTCGGTCTTGAGGCGCCTGGAGGCAGAGCGATGGAGAAGGGTCTGGCTGATGAGGACTTGGTGTTGTTTTGACCTCTGGAATCCCCGATCACGCGGTTCAACAACCATTGGGATACTTCGTGTATTTAAGAGCGGGAATCGCACCTTGCCTTGGAATATGCCTTGTTCAGACGCCTCAGCAATGAGAATTGTCAGAGTTTGCTTCTCAGCGATGATCTTTAATCCAAGCAACGTCTCATGATGTTGAAGGTACATAGCTTTTGACCGGGATGTGGTAATGGGCATGGAGTCGTCTTCCGGCTATTTTGTTGGACTGGTATTTGGGAAGGGTATTCGATTTGACGAGTTGACGATCTCTTGTCGGCCGAGACAAGGTTTGGAGATGACAATGCCCCGTCTTGATTGCGGACTGTCGTTCAAAGTTCAGTGAGAAGTACGCCTGCACTTCCCAGGCTACTTGTTGTTTCTGTCGAGTCAATGAGTGGTTTGGGACTTGAATTTAAATTTCGACATCTCAGCTGCCTCGCGGACGGTGGGGTGGGAGATGCAACTTGATAGCCCGCGAAGTTCGTCATGTTTAAAGTTGAGCCGTAGGACACTTGCAAGGAGTCCCCAACAATAATGCCGCATTCTGTCGGTCGTTTATGACGAATGGCTTTACTAGAGGTTTTGAAAACCCTGACAGGATTGGGTCATTGACTAGTCGCGTCCTCGCACGAATTGGATATTCTGCCGCAAAAATGCGTGATAAACAGAGGGAGAGTGCGGACGATAATGACCTGCGGGATCCAAGTCACGAGTGGGCTGCCCTTTTCTGTAGGAATGACACATTTATTTTTGCATGAGATAGCTGCGCTACGGAATCCTGCAAACAAGACAGGAGCACGTCGCCTGGTACGACTACATTGTCTTTTCTGTTGGTGAAGTTGGCATGAGCCGGCTTTTAATAGTTTGTGAAGCTGCGTTGTCATAATGCTCGTCAGGCCTCGGGATGTGGAGGGTCGTGGTGAATAGCTCTGGGGCGAAACGGCATGGATTCGGGCTGTTTGATGGAATGGTAGAGGTCTCGGCGATCTTTTCGAACGTTCCACACGGCAGGCAGCGCCGCGTTGGAAAGGCTTTGTTCGTATTTAAATCATGGTATTATCAATGACTGGGGGCTTTTGCCAAACAGCAACAGTGATCGTCAAATTGACCTCTGGCTGATGCCTCACGTTTGCATTTGACACGGGCTGCCAGTCATTCGGTGGTCTTCCAGGAACTTGGATTCAAAACGCCGTCACGATATGGTGTCCATACGTTTGGTTCTGCCTGGTGTTTTCTCTAGTACGTGCTTATTCACCGATTCGTATTGATGCTGTGAGATGAGTAGTGCAAGAGAAGGCGGGATGACTGGGTTGCACATCACACAACAAGCTTCGCTTCGCCTCCCGAGGTTCAAGATATGGATCCCCAGAGTCGGACCTTCATTGCCCCAGAGTCGGGCCTTCATTGTCTTGTCTCGGACTTCAGTGCTGATTTCTGATTTCAGAACCTTTTATACTGCTAGAAGCATGGGTCATTATTGGAGACACGATGGGGTGGGATTCAATAACTTGCGCCCATTTAAAAGGGGTAAATCAATCGAAAGAAAATGTTCGTTGACAGTGTTGTGAAACGTTGCAGCTTTGTTACTTGCATGATCGAGTTTGCGTGCCGGTATCATTGGTGGTCTTCAGATGATTTCAATAGTGCTGAGTTATCAACTTCGGAAAGAGAAGACTGGGTTCAGTTTCTTCGTCCTTCATCGACTAGCGCATCTTATTATCTATGCAATACTCAGAAGTCCGTAACATGTGACATGTCGAAGTCGTTGGTGGGTTGACCACAAAATGACATCTTGTAATGTTATTGTATGATACCTGCATTTCATTTCAATATCAATGCACTGTTCAGTTACGGCCAGGACGTGTCTGAAATATTGGTGTTGCTAAAGAAGTTTCTCAGGTATCGGGCAGCATTAAATAATCCTCGAAGTCGGCCAGCTGTCTTTCTCACAACTGCAGTAGAGAGAAGGCTCGCGTTGCGACAGGCCAACGTCCATGGGTTCACGCAGCTTTTCATGTTGAAATCTTAGGAGGTGCGTTATATATATCGAGACGCGCTCGTTCACAATCAAGACCGAACCAAATATGGCCACTTGGAAGACTGTTCGTCCTGCGGGCTTCCAATGCCGTTCCTTCGAATTAGCGCGAGCTCGTGGAAGTGGCTTGGGGCACACGTTGTAGAAACGAAATTACCTTAAGATCATTTCGAGATGGGTTCTGTTTGGTGTCCTTGGGGGTTGTCCAGTATTCATAGATACTACTGGAGAATCGGTTAACTTACTCTTACCTTGTTTCCCACGTCAATAACTGGCATATTGATATAAGAATAAGTGATAGTTTCGAATTCGTCCTAGAAAATGGACACAGAAAAGAAAGCATTATCATAATAAACAGATTCCTGACATGTTCACCATAATTGTAAATGGGAGCTGAGGTAGTCCTGTTGGTTTTTCTCGGACCAAGATGCCCACACATATCTCAAGAATCCAATGCGAAATCTGGTTGAAGTGAAGTCTACGTGCTCACACAAGCTTGACTTCCCGAGTGCTACATTGGTCCCAGAATGCCCTTCCACACTGACCACTAGCTTCAGTGAAAAACACCCCTGCTCTGCGATACTCGCCAGGAGTGCTAGTAGGAAGCACAAGAAGACCCAAAAGAAGGTCCTGATACGTGAGAGAGCCCCCACGCTTATACCATTCCTCGGTAACTTTGCTAGAGATCAAAACCATGAGTATATGATCTACTGGACCATCTTCACACTCTTCTCCTGTATCTGGATCTTTCGGCGCTTCTGAGTTGGGACTTCGCCAATCGAAGCGAACATACGCCAACGGTGTCCCGTCTTCCGACACCAGCTTGTAAGGGAAAATGTAACCGAGAAACTCGGATCCACGTTGTAGTCTCGTACTCGGAATCTTTTGAATCTTGGTCGAAAGCAAGAGGTGGCCTGACTTGACACGACCATACGGGTCCAGGCCTTTTGGAGAGACTTTGCTCTCCACAAGGTGGAATTCCGGCTTGAAAGCGGTCACTGCGTGCCAAACCCATGAGATGCTATCTGATTGGGACGCCCAGCTCCATGATGGCGCTGTGTATTGCTCGGGTATCTGATTGAGGAACTCCCCTGGCGTTCTCATGCCCTCATGCGCCCACAGAAGGTCTTGGTGAAGATTTGAACTGAAGACCCCGGCGAGGTAGTCGCCTTCAACCTTCCCGGCCCAGAGTTTTGCCAGCGCCGATACGGCTGGCAGAATATCGTTCGAATGGGTCAGAGATCGGCGGGAATAGTCCCTAACCAGCCCCTGCCAGTCCGAGAGTACTTGTTCTTCAGATTCCTTCGTATTTCCGTGTCGACTGTCCAGCAGGTACTTTGGACCTTCATTGGAGCTATTGCCCATTGCATCTTCTGACCGGATCAAAACGTTACCAGAACAGACATGAACCATACTTTTACCGAAGAGAAGAATTCTGGGGCTTAACAGGAACTCTTGAAATGTCCAGCCGCGTCCATTCCAGCTGCATTGGTTGACGTCTTGCTCGTAAGGCTTGCGAGATCCTACCGTCCATCGGTACGGGTTTGGGGGAGGTGGGTTCGGGTTGAAACAGTCGCTGAGGTTCGCCCCCTCAAAGATATCCGTTTGAACATAGTCATCCGTTGGCGACGACGCAAATATGGAGAAGGTGCCAGAAAAGGCGGAGTCCAGAGATGAGGTGAAGGGAACATCGATGACGTGAGAAGGACCTGAGCGCTGGAGAAACCCGTCTAGACATGAGTCGCCTTGAGCGGCGCAGACGGTCAAGTACGCATTAGCGTACACATTTCCCATCTGTGCCGCCTCCCGTCCCCAATCGTCTGCATCATCCTGGATGATACAAAGAGAGTCTATCCAGATGTAACGGATGCTTAAAGCGCGGCTCAACTTGATAGCGTCTTGGTGCGCCTTTGGAAATTCTGTGAAAGGGATCTGATGGAGTCGATCCTTGAGCGTCAAGGTCTCAGTCTTGAGTTGCTTTGAGGCTTTCTCGGGCGGACCCCAACAGTAGCTGAGAGCGAGGTAGTGGTTGCTCCCAACTTTACTTCGAAGTAGCGGATAGTGTGAGGTCACTACCAGTCGGGGCTCCTCATATTGATTGCCTGGACCTCGAAGACCGACGTCAATGAGGCGTGTTGGTAGGCGCAAGTGTTCCGAGATTGGGGGAAGGTTTGGAATTGAGAACGCTACGTCTTTGAGCTGGTTCAAACGTCGCATGCCTCTCTCGGACAGGATTTCCCTCTCAACTGAGGCACGAGGTATCGAGAGCCAGGGTGTGCAAGGATCTTTGGCCGCCAGGTCAGTACCTACTCCAGAGACAGAGTGGAAGGTGCTTACCAGTGGGGTCTGCTTGTATATCGAGACGGAGCGCGTGGGACGATTGGTCGTCAGGATTGGTTGGATGCAAAAGTTTGAAGTGAACAAGTAGTGCCTCCAAAGAGCATCTATGCAGCACCTCGTCGCTTTCCCTAGTATGCGACATGGAGTACAAGAGCTTGTGTATGAATAGGTTTGTTTGCTGATGTATCGACCTCCATGTTTGAGCTCGAAATTTTGTGATTTCGTCTTTCAGAAGGACACACAGAGCGCAACCTTCTAATGCAGAACGAGAGAGCACAGGAAGATCAGGGAATGAGTCTTTAAGCTCGTATTCCAGAAAAAGACGCCCTGTAGACTCCTGGAATTCGAAGCCGAGGTAGGTCTTGCCAGACTTTGCAACCTGAACAAACCCATTGTGCTCCGCGTCGTTTAGCCGGATGACCTCGCATCGTTTGCAAAGAACCGACATTATGTTGAAATCCTTCGATCGACACCAGATTTTGAGTTGTTTGGAGTGATCTCCTCAGTTTCGATTGAGCTGGACGAGGGCAGAATGAGCGCGCAAAGTGGGCTTGAATGAGCGAGGGCATAGGCAAGATACGTGGAAAGAGCGAGATGTATAACACGACTGAAGAATGTGGAGCTACGAACTTGCAGTCTAGGGATGGAAACTATCTCGCAATTTTGCACATGCCTTGAGTTTAACTTCTTTCAAACTGACTAGTCTGCGGATGTAACCCTTGTCGAAGGAAGGATGATCAGCCTCAGTGGGGAAACAGCAGGATAAGCTAGGCGGCAGCAGCGCTTTGCGTGAATTTTTGAACAACATCACATGTCGCTGACTACTGGAAAAATAACGGTTTCCACGGGTTGGCCCCGAAAGTAAGAAGACTCGACTGCTTCGATTGTTGTGTGGATAGTTGCGAGTTGGAGGCCAGCAGCAGCCAAACTGGCACGCGGGTTGTTGGTAAGTGAAACCCCACAATTCCAGCGGTACTTAGTATTATGCCAGAGTCAATGGATATCCATAATCTAAATAATCTTCTGTTGCTTGGCCGAGTGCTAAGGTGAATCTCAACGATGCTGTTGATATAGTTGCACATAGGTTCTGGAACGGAACCGGGCTCTGGGGTGGGGACAATATGCAGACACAAAGTATGTTGTCAACCAAGAAAGGCAAGCCAGCTTGGCAAACAGCTGACAGCTATTGAAAGAAGCTAAAATGCCGGTCGGAAATTTCTACATCTATTGCCAATTTTGAGGCCGCCCGGCTGCCTTGAGGGCGACCGTTTTATTCGCAGCGCGGCGAGATGAAGAACAGGGAGTGAGCATTGAGGCTAGCTGGGTCACTCAGGCTTCAAGGACCCCACTACGGGCAGGGCCCAACAACAAGGCAGATCAGCTGATCTGCCCGGCTAGCTCAATCGGTAGAGCGTGAGACTCTTAATCTCAAGGTTGTGGGTTCGACCCCCACGTCGGGCTCAATTCCCGTCCGCGATTACGCGCACACTTCTTTTGCTTTCTCACTTTTTGAGAAATGCCCCCTAGCCACGTCCTACACTGTTCTTCTACCCTTGTTCTACTCTTGTCTACATCTCCTAAGCTTTTTACCTCGCCATCCAGATCTCTGAAATCTGGCCGGGCGATAACTGCAAGCTTTACTTAGGCTTGGAATGTGTTAAGGCAATTAACTAATAGAGTTGAATTTTAATGTTGGACGATGTGTGACTATTCACTAAACGTGGGGCTAGCTATGGAAACTTACAACCAGATGGGTGAAGAGTAAAGCCACTGCATGCTGAGTGAGGGTGGATATTCAGGGACGAAGGTTGTTCTGATAGCTACGTGCGCGAAGGAAAGCTATGCAAGTTCAGCAGGACTTAAGGAGCCTCTGTGCTCACTGTATTCGGCAGGTAGTTGCTCATAGTGCATTTACCACTTCATCTCTAACAGAATGATCTAGTCCTCTTAACCACTCGCGCATTTCACAGGTAGATGATCATCAAAGCGGGAGTTTACGATGTAGCCGAGGGTCCTAATAATAGTATTGAAGTTGAGTGAGTGACTCTGTGCTAGCAGTTCTGGCTATTCGAGAGGCGCTTATGGCCCTTAATATAGTGAAAGTATGTGGATATCGCCGTCATCTTCAAGCAGACTCCCCCATTGCTAAGCCCTCTACGGGTTGCATCGGAAGCTGCTGAACCTAATTTTCCAGTTACTGCTCGGCTAAGCGACTCTTCCAGAAGAGCTGTACACGCGTCCCCTGCAGCTGGTGTCTGTGTAGAAGCTGCAGGACATTCCGCTCTTGACCGCGAAAGAGGAGACCTTATCGTTGTATTGCGGACCAATGTGGTTTGTGGATGGAGTCAGAGGAACTCGTCATTACTTTACTGGGGAGAAGACTTTTGAACAGTAAGCAAGGTGAACCCCGACACATCAATGTATGCAACTCCAGTACTTTATCAATACCGAAAAAAGATGTTTCAGATGATCTGGACTGGAGATTCATATAATCATCATGATTACTTTGCCCCTGCGTGTTTTCTGAGCACCTGTGTATTCTCAAGCAATGTCACCATGCCTTGAAGATCTTGGGTCTGGCTTGCGCCCCATCAACAAACGATCAAAGCTCGACCGAACGACATAGACTCAATGTCCGAGGAACAAGCAAAGTATTCTGTACATAAAGAAGCCGACCACTACAGGAATTCTGACATGATGACACAGCAGCAGATACGTCCCAATCATGTTTCGCTTGGATCGAATGTCTGCCTTCGACTCTCTGGTCACCTGAATTGATACCAGGGTTGCAATCCTACTGCCGCCAAATCCACCACCTGACAAATTGCTCCCAACGGCCTTCCTTGCCCCCATTGTCGGGGATTTATCTGCATCGAATAAGTCGGAGTAAAGAAACCCGACAAATATAGAGGCATTTGCAGCAAACCGCACACCATCCGCCTGTGCCAGCCCACAGATAGCAGAGAATACTTCAAATTCCTTCGCACCGCATGTAGCATCAGATTCGAAGGATGCGGAAAGCTAGAATTTGTTGCTGGAGTCCTCTCACAACTCTGAGTTTGATGATTAAATAGGGGGGGTTCTTCTCTGCTCTGCCAACGCTGCATGTCCATTGGAAACGCCCAACGCGAAGTCAGTGGATCAGCCAAGTCAGAGTCAAGTGAACATCAAATAAAAAAATGGGTCGATAAATATGCATGAGATCAGACCTTGGAGAGACTTCGTGTAATGGCGTAAACGCCTCAAATGTGCATGTCAACCTATGTGCTTCGCAAAATAGTGCCCCTTTTCTGACACTTCCAGGCTCTCTACGCTTAACATCTAATGCTTCTCCTACACCTGAGGTCTCAGCCTCACGCGTCGTACTTATTTTCTGCCATCTTCATAGTATACATACTGATATGTTAAGTGAGAGCCTCAACATAAAGACAGACGAAGGCAGCTTGCGGCTGCATGTACGCAAGGTCTCACTCGGATTCAATTATGCTCATTTCATGGAAGGTTTAAGGAGCTGCTGCTTCAACTAAATTCCCGGAGGCATGTGGATAGTATCACTTTTCAAGCCTCTCTGTAGAATCAGCAGTGTCTCTTTTATAAGACCTTCTTCCATTCGCATTTAGCACATGCCGCTTTGCTAGCATCTTAAGAAGGGTAATACGACGAGAAGCAGAAATGACTTTCTTGGTGGTATATATTATAGTGAAATCATGAAAATCAGTTGATATAGGAGCAGATCAAGCTTCTTCAATGCCTTGATTGAAGGCTATTGCGGGTGCTGTAAAGCGCAGCAAATACTGCTAACAAGTCTCACCCGAGTCCTTTCCGATTAAAACTTCCCGCCGCGACAAGTCGTCATACCCTTTCAAAATTCATCACCCCTATTATCGAATGATTATACACAGCGTGTATAAGCCCTGGAAAGACTCTTATTGTGCGTTCACATCCGACCCATAGGTGACAGCCGCCGCTCCCTTAGAAGTAATGCAATTCATGCCAACGACTCAACTGCTGGTTGGCGGTTAAGTTCAAAAGCAAAATAGTTCATCAGTTTCATGCACTTAAATAGTTCGAAACTCGGCATTGATACCGGGAAGATGAGATGCGCTTGGCTTGCCTGTCCCCAAAACAAAGCTTGACTGCCACCCCTCACGCCTTTTGTACCGTTCAGGATAGGATATAAACGGCGCTCAATGCTAAATAAAGAGCTTATTAAATCGAACTCAACTGGAATGCGGTTTTCTTGCGAAACAAGCAGACAACAATTGCAAGAGAGGTGGCTGCTTAGAAAGTACTTTGAACATTCCAAGTTTGATCCCCGTGCGCGCTCGAATTACCCGTCGTCCATCTCTTCCATCCCCACAAACCCCTACATCTGTATTTTGTCCTATTGAAAGCAATGAAGACAGTCGGATGTCTCTAGGGCACTACACTCGGTCACGACAGGTTTTAGAAACTGGGTGTCACATCTAGATGACCTCGTCGTCCCCTAAAATGTGGGAAGCCGATGATTGATGAGCCCGAAAATCCAACAGCATCCAGGCACTTAAAAGCTTGTCCGTCTCTCGAAGGTCCACCAAAGTCACAACTTCAATATGATAGCATCTGCAAACATTAGTGATGGGTACCTTATATATTCCCTTCCACACTCGCTGTAGCACGGGTCAACCAACACAATTATTCCCCTGGTCATGACATTGCTCACTTACGTGCTGTTTCAGGCGAAAAGAAAAGGAAAACTTCAACATTTTCCATACAGCATCTCACCTCGACCCGCAATTCAAGCGCCCAGCGAACTCCATCTACCGCCGCTCGTCTCTTCTCCCGTCAGTATATACGTCATCATAGACCCCTTGCTCGCTAACCCACCCAGCATCTATTGCCCTTAGTATCTCTGACAAGAAGAAAGATCTTGGTTGCACATCATAGAAACTTGATTCTCCTTTCAGCATAAGATCTGACAACCAGAAATTGCTTTCGAAGGATAGGGGAATTTGTCCCAAAAGCCAGAACTCTCGTCTGCCAATTCAACTTTTAAATAGTCGCGAAGTTCCAAATGTCATGACTGACCACTCGCTTCACTGGATGCCTGGATATCATAGGGAGCAGCTTTCTCACAGTCTTGGTCGTCTTCTCTCTCGAGATAGATAGCAGCATCCCCAAATATCTTATTCCAATATAAGATAGAACAGACGCGCTATTCGCTCTAACTTTTCAACAAGGACACAACCCGTAGAATGTGTCTGTTATGGTCAGGGTTGTGATTCCAAGCCTTGATCGTACCGACCAAGTTAAAAGCAACACAGTTAAAAGCAACATAGTTAAAAGCAACACAGCTCTCATCCCAATTTCAAACACTCAAACTCAGCATAAGACCATCGCAAACCTTGGCGTTCTTCATCCCCGTCGCCCACTGTGTATACCAACCTTCCATCCCTCGCATCTCTGCTC